CCTTCGTTCGCGTAGCGCGTTCAGTGGGTGTTGCCAGCCAGCCTCTTTCGCTGCTCCATCTCATTTTGGTACAAAGCAAACGTATTGGTACTTATTCGGCGACAAAGATTTATCACCAAAGCGCTCCAGCGACACTCCTATCGTCCGTCGTGCTCATCCTCAACCTCGAAATGAGTTTGGTTTTGTTCCTTTTTTTGTCGCTGTGGCTTTGGGATGATAGAGTGTATATTGTTTCGCTTTAATTGAAATTTTCCTTTTCTGTATATGCCATACAGTTACATAATTTAGACAATGCGTGTCTATATATATGCGAAAAAGTAATTTTGCTGGTATGAATATGTCCCGTAAGCAAAATTTTAGCGGTTCTGGTTTTGCTCCCAGAACCAGCCTGCTACTTTCCCAAATACTTTTCCCCGGCCACAGCTTCCGACCACCAGAAACCATTTTCACTTACTTTAATAAAAATATTTATAATCGCTTTCAAAATAAGCTCCGTTCAAGCCAATACAAGCATGCCAATGCTAATGGATTCGATGGACTCTGTCGCGTACCTCGATGCGTGTTTTTCAGTTTCGAAAATAGACAAAATTCACAGGGAGACAAATCTGGTCAATACGATGGCTGAGCCATTGCTCAGTTTCATGTGTGGCCGAAAAGTCAGTCACAATCAAGATATAATGGGACGGCATATTATCGTGGTAAAAATCCATGAATTTTCTTCACACGGTTTTGTTTTTTCGGTTTTGGCTCATTTTTGGAGTGCCATTCGCTAGATTGTTGGACAGTTTCGACGTAATATTCATAAACTCACGCCTCGTCACCATCAACGTTGCGTTTGATGAAAGTAGTATCCTCAGCTATTTTGTTAAGTATGTCTTTTGCGATCTCTACTCAAGTTGGTGTTGCAAAAGTTTAAAGCCTGAGTTTAGCAATAACACACTATATACATACATACATAGATATTCCTCTTCAGATTATTACAAAATGGCATTAGACACTCCATTCTAGGTTAAATGTGTTCGGATACTCGACCGACTTGTGTTTGTTGGGTTATGTTATATTTATAGTTCTACAGCTGTTAGAGACAAATCCGCTCCACATATAGCCGTTTTTTGAAGCTTGTTTTTCAAACGCGCTTTTCGCCGCAACAATCACCTGCTGAACCTTCGGCTTGCTCAGCATGCCCTCCATGCCGAACATAGCCAACACAATTTAACATAACATCGCTTAGTGTTGCTCGTACAGCCCACGGCTTTTATGACTTGACTGATGTTATTGTTTTTTCATATTGTAGCGCAATGTTATTATTGTTGTTGTAGCAACTTTTTTTGGGTCCAGAAAGCTAAAGCTTATTTATTTATTATTTTTCTGGTCGCACTCATTATTGTAGTTGACTGACGGCAACAGACAGGCAATTGTTTTGTTTGCTGGCTATTTTGGGCAGTGCCATCATTGTCACCGTTTAAGTACAGCACTTGCCACAGCCACATTGACGACGATTTGCGGCCGAACGCAAATAAATTTTCCTCATATTGCGGTTGTACGCTTTAATAAATGAAATTGTTGTCAATGTGTTTTTCGTTTTTTTTTTTGCTTTTCTCTTTGTATTTGTCACGTAATGCCCGAGACTGAGGTGGTGGTGGCGGTGCCGTCTGCGGTTCTCTGTTGCTATTATCTTGTGCAACAATATTGCCATTTTTTTGTTACTCTTGTTGAGCGCTGCTGGTGGTATCTTGAATTTTCACGATTTTCTTTTATTTTTGTAAATGCTGCATATGACTAGGCACGTGTATGTGTGTAGATGCCAATATGGTGCTAGTAGTACGGAATACAATTAAGGTACATCCCTTGCAGCCCGCGCTGCCCTTTCACACTCTTTTATCTGTCTGCTGCATTGTTTTTTATTATTTCGTTTTTATTGCTCTCTTCACTGTTGCTGTTATTTTTGTGGTTGTTGTTGTTGTTGTCGTATTGGCATTGTTTTTCGAAAATTGCCATTTGCCACATTTGCAAAGCGGTAATGGCCAGTCCCACACGCGTGCTCCACGCGTACGTACGCGCATGCCACGCGTTCAACAAAAAGCCACACAATGCCAGCGGCCCTGTAGCGCTCACAGCCGTTGCAGGACAATCTGGCAATTGTTGCCGGTGGCACCGACAGTTGGCGGTTGGGAAATTACGTAATATTTGCTTGATGAAGATTTACGGCTTGCACAAAGCCCAACCACTGGCTGGCAAATTGAGGTGGGCGCTGCCCGTCGGCAATAGTCGCCCGAGCAGCTGCTAAAATAACTACATACGTAATCAGTGCGGAGGCGAGCAGGCACGGCACAACATCGTTGGCGGCCACACTGAGATAAGGTTTGCTTTGGTTTCGGCTATTGGCCGTTAGCCGCTAGCCGTTGGCTTTATTGTCTCTCTTCTTTTTTTGTGCCTATTGGTCTTTTCTATGGTTTTGCGGCTTTGGAGCGCTGAGCTCAACAATGACAACTCTATATACCTATTCAAAGCTCGGTTAATGCCTTGCAACAACAACAAACAATTAGATAAACAATAACATTCAGTAAGTCACAAGGACAAAACTTAATCTAAAAACATTTATGTGAATAAAACACTTAAGCTCAGGCGCATTAATTGAAAAAATCACAATAAAGGCCAAAGTACGTATTAGACTGAAGGAAATTCGTGATTGCGGTGGAAAACAAAACGTATTCGGTCAGTGGCTCTGTGTGTGCGTGTATGTGTTTATATATAATACTATCTTCAAGCTTCGCATCGACAAATCGTGGTCTGTCATTTTTGCTTTTGCCTTTAATTAATTTGCCATTAAGGCTTTTGTCATTTAACACAACTAAACACCGGCGGCGAATGGCTTAAGCTTATATAAACTGGAATAACAAATTCAGCAAAATATTTGGGTTAAAGTTAAAATTTTAGTGAGCCTAATTTAAATTCAACTAGTGACCATATATAGTGATAAATGTAGTTGCCTTAGTTATGGTAATTTATTCATTTTCGGTTCCTAAAATAAGACGGGGCTTATATTAAAACAACAAAACCATTTTAGTTGCTGATACTCACTTTTCGAAAGTAGTATTGGTCTTTTTGGCAATCAGATGAATTTAAAATCAACTCAAGAGATGTGGAATTCCGCTATCAGCCAATTAATTTGTCTTATGTTTCAACGCTAGTCTGATAGAAAAATTAACTAGTAAAAATATTCGTGCAGTTTTTTTTTCAAAAGTTCAACTTTTATTAAATAAAAACATGTACAATAGTATTAATCAAAGTTCTATCCTTAGCGCCAATTTTCAATACCCTGTTCCGATGTGAATCGTGTTCCAGTGAGGGTGTTCAGCATCGACCGAAACCAATGCTAATCAGAAGGCGCAGGTCTGGCCGGTTAAGCGAATTAGGCACAACTTCCCAACCGCTGTTTTTTAAATAGTTTTTAGTTGGTATTGCAACATCAGGCCGAGCGTTGTCTTGATGAAAAATTATTGCCTCGTATCTAGAAAATTCCGTGCATTTTTCGACAATCGCTCGCATCACTTTGATAAGTTTGATATTAAGCGTTTCCCAATAATGATTTTAGAAGCCGATAATGCAGCATATTTTTGTAGCGTTCACGCAGCATTTCTGACCTTCAAAAACGTCTATCAAGGTTTCTTGCCTTCACTGGTTATGATACTCAATTGCTTTGCTTTTGGATGTATACAGCTGCTTTTCGAAATGGCACCTTGAGTGACTTCTAAGGATTTTGTAAGGTCTTCTTGTGTTTTGAAAAAGTATTCATAAAATATTGCTTCCAGTTCCTCTCCATATATTTTTGGCCACCCACGACGTTATTCCTTCATTCAAAGTCATATTTACACCTAACAAACAACAAAACCCAGCAATAATAATTACACAATTTTCAAGCCACTTTCATATTATGTATTTTAGGAGAAACCTTTTTAAGTTGGATGTATCTTTTGAAGGCTGGAATAGCCTACTAGCAGATGAGATCTTTAGAAAAAATTGTTAGCATAATTTTTATTTTTCCTTGGCCGAAAGTTGAAACTACAACTCTCTAAATTACAATTTTAGTCAAAATATTTCTCTGATTAGCTATGTTACCTCTGTAATATTTAAAGGATTCCAGGTCATTCCAGAGAGTTGACCTAACACTTATCCTATTATTATACCATCGTTGAACTTGAAGAATCTTCACGAAATAGTTCCGAGAAATCTCAGTCCATTATGCTCACATAGATGGGGTTTGTTTCTCTAGAGTCTTAAGAGACTTCAGTTCATAAAAACACTCTATTCTTTCAATTTCTGGTGCTGATCTCAATGTAAATGCAAATCTTTACTAATGATTGAACAAGTATGATACAGCTGAAAGAGTTTCCGTAAATCCCGTAACTTCAGGCCATATTCGTACTAATTTAATTGAACTAATTGTTAGTGTGCATGCTAATAGGATTCCATGTACATATGTCAATTGCTATTGATTGTTCAGATAGGCGTGACCATCACACTGCGTTTGATGTGTTCTTACCGCATTGTCCACAACAACACTGTTGTTAATGACGTTGGGCATTTGTTTAGCTGGTGGCTTAGACAAATGCAAACGAAAACACTAAACGCCTCTTTCAGACTGAAGTACAAGTTCATTAACTCGACTATTAAACACACAAGGCCTCACCACAACTTTTCGAAACAGATAAACATATGCAACTCACACAAACGAATGTGAGTGTGTGTGTGTGTGTGCTTGTGCGTGCGCTGATTATAATGTACTCACATATGTATGTTTATATAATGTAATGCACACACTGGCTCAGGACTGCAACAAATTGATTATCTACTAAATATCGGCACATCAGCATGAATAATGACTAAGTCATCGCACGCACGCACCGGTTGACACTTTAAGTGCTTAGCACACACACACACACACGCACACAGCGGTTTACTTTACTGTTTACTCTACTTCTTTTCTCCGCTCCTTGCAGGTCTACAGCATGTCCACACCGAAGAGCAGTCGCGGCGGAGGCAATGGCAGCGTTTTCGGTGGCGCTAGCTCCTCCACCGGCAGTGGTAGTGATCCCAAAGAGAAGCTACGTCGCATACCCAACGTGCAGCCGGGCACGCTTATGTGCCAACACCTTATAAAAGAGGGCACCTATGGGCGTATATACGCGGGCAATCTCGGCGACTCGTGCGATGTAATTATCAAAACTGTTGTTGATGGCGCCTCGCTGACGCAGGTGGCCTGTCTGCTGCAAGAGGCTTCGACGCTAATCGGTGTGTGTCATCCGAACATACTGACGCCTTTGTTGGCGAACACCGAGCTACCAGGTCCACCCGAGATCGCCTACCCCTATCCGTCCAAGGGCAATCTGAAAATGTGCGTGCATGAGTGCAACTCTAATAAAAGTGTATAATTAATATTTTTGTATCTTTTATAGCTTCTTACAGAAGTCGCGTGAACTCAACTCGCCGCTTAGCACCCGGCAATTGGTGGAGTTCGGTTTGCATGTGACCAAAGGACTCGCGCATCTACACTCGATGGGTATTATACACCGCGATGTTGCCACACGCAATTGCTAGTGAGTGTTTGTTGTATTTTTTTCTTGTTACTCTTTCTTTTCATTTAAAATTGTTCTCTTAATATTTCGCTTTCTTTGTTCTTTCTTTTTATTTACAGTCTCGATATGGATTCCTACGTGAAAATTTGTGATAGCGCTTTATCGCGCGATCTCTTTCCCGACGATTATCATTGTCTTGGTGACAACGAGAATCGGCCGCTCAAGTGGATGGCTTTAGAATCATTACAGAAAAAATACTTCAACACTTATAGTGACATTTGGACTTTGGGTGTTCTCTTCTGGGAGTTGGCCACCTTGGCGCTTACACCTTTTGAAGAGGTGGATATTTTTGAGTTGAGCGCATACCTCTCGGATGGCTTTCGGTTGGGTCAACCGATCAACTGTCCCGATGAATTGTAAGTACTTTCTCTAAAAGCCTTGTAAATTTAACATAATATATAGTATAAGATTGAGCTGAACATCAATCCTATGTAGATTTTTTTATTTCTCTCGAGCTAGAGGAAGGTTAGGTCGATAGGGTTAGTCTAGTAGATTAAAAAGAAAACACATAGGCCAGTTTTGCCTAATGTCTTGCTCTTGATACTTTCTGCATTCTACACGATCTGACAGCCCCATCTTACAAGTTTACAGCACCACCAGGCTGTGACCTTTGTAACCTGGCACCCAGTAGAAGTTAGGTCGCTTTTTTCTGGTGACCCTGTCCAGTGCGAACCTGCTAACCAAAAATCTTTTGGCCGATATGCGAACTATATTGCAGTGATCTGGTAGTTTAAATAGCTGTATTATGACTAACACCGGACAGTATATCCTCACACCAGCTCCGTTCGTCATTTTCGAGCCATCCGTATAAATCTTTATTGCATGGCGTACAGCTACCATTAGCCGGTAACTGCTAGACTGCCATTACCCACCGAGCTATGCCAGAAGGTTCTGTAAATTTTTCTGCGGCCAATAGTCGTCCCACCGATATTACCACCCAGCTGTTTTCGGTGAAAAGATATATAGATGGCAATTTAAGTACTACTTCATTGGGGTGGTTCTTAGAACTCCCGTTATGCAAATTGCAGCGAGCCGCTGAATACTTTCCAATGGCTTTCGGTATGTAGTTTTTGTTTTAGACTGGCTGATATCGATTCAAATCACTAAAAAAACTAAAATATACAGGTATTCTTGCAGGAACCCTACAAGTAGCTGAGCAACCTTTTAGAAATTAATTATTAGTCAATAATATATCTTTTGTTAGAGTTGTATGAAAGAATGTGAGGTAGAAATATTCAAGCACTTTCTCCTCCACTGTACGGCGTTCTAGTTTATCTGATCGGTCTTTTAAATCTAACCCCATATATTATAATATAAAACAAAGTACTTTAGTACATGAAGCATACAGGCAATATCATGAAATCACAGAATATATGTTTATATAACTGTGACATCGATTACGGCGATATATGAATGAAATAAATTACACCCGAGATTTTTAGTGTAGTTATTCATTGATGTAAAAACAGCAACAGAAAAGCTTGACACAGAATTTTCGATGTATCCACTCTGAAAATTTAATATTTATTAAATAATATGTGATTGCTGAAAGGAAAAAAAAACAAATTCGAAATAATATTTAACTATCATTTCCGTTTAATTAATTTAATTATATTTTTGTAAATAAGTACCATTTTTTTTATTTGCTACTTTGCAGCTTTACCGTGATGTCCTGCTGCTGGCTGGAGGACCCCAAGCAACGACCATCATTTCCGCAACTACTCGCATACTTACAAGACTTTCACGAGGACCTGGGCAAGTATATATAAATCCATTAAAAGCTTGTAAAGCGAAGAGTGTGGGAGAGCTTACCAGGGCAAGGGCAATGCACTTGGAGCGCTGCAAATGTGTAAATAGATTGAAAGCCCGCTAATAAACTTAAAAAAAAGAATAGAAAAATCTATCAAATTGATTGGGCGTTTTAAATTCAAATTAGTTAGTTACAAAAATAAAACAACAAAAGTTATGCATGTGAATGTAAATAAAAAGCTACACATATATACACACACACACAAACACAATTGCAATTGCAGCATTCAATTATGCAATGATTTGCAAAATAAAAACCACAAAAAACACAAAAACAAATAAATCTAACAAAAAGCTGAAATTAAAAGCATAGAAAGAAGAAAGAAAAAAAATTAAGGTATATTTAATGAAATTAATTTAATTGGGCTGCATAATTTTTTCGATTTACCAAACGTGACCGATGTGCGCGCAAAACACACACACATCTATGTATGCCCGCATATTTATTGTTATTGTATTGATTGTACTCATTATTGAATAAGTATTTAAACGTATTGTGGTATATTTTTTTACATTTAAGCGAATCTATATGTATATGTATATGGAAGATATTTTTTACACACCCATTTAACATATACATACGTATTAGAGCAAATGTTGGAATGGTATTTTATATGGTGTAACGGTGAACAGCGCCTGTGCATAAGTATATACGAAATATGATTGAAAAAATATGTACGAGCAATCGAGCTGATTCAATAGTGAAATGTAACACTGGTAGTGAGCAACAACAGCAACAACAACTAGTATGTTTCAATATTTACATGCGAGTATATGTATAATATATACTTACACACTTATATATATACACATACATACATATTTGTATTATATTATATTTACAAAATAGCTATTTATCTATAGTTAATATTTAACATACGCACACACATACAAACACACATTTCTGTATCTGTGTAAATTGATACAGCGAGAAAAAATTGAAAAAAGCGCAACAGGAGAACAACACAATAGCTGCAATTGTGCTGAAGTTTAAGTAAATTTAATAAATGTTATCGACAACAAAGCATCCCAAGAATCGTAAAGCATAATGACAAAGGGATAAATTCGTTGTTAAATTATTGTAATTGTATGATATTAACTCAATGCCATAGCGAAATTCACTTAATACACACACACACCTACCATCAGCAACACACACACACATACTGCCATTATTATTGAAAACATAGTGCAATAAACCGCGAAGAGTCAAAAGCAAAGCAATTTCATGTTGATAGAATATTTTTTTTTATTACGATACGAGTACTTTTGTACAAACAGTTGCTTTTACTAGTTAATTTAGTCATACACTTTTTTACATATTATTCATGCATGAATGCGCACTTTTACTTATATAATACAATATACATACAAATAGTATGTGTTGCAGGACCTAGATACCCAGTGAGAAATGCAAAGCGTTAAGTGGTATACTTGAAAAGCTAAAAACTATATACAATAATTAAAAATAATTTCATAAACGGCCTCTGAATCTATTTATTACACTCGACAAGTTCTTATGATTTCTCTTAATTCCAACTACTTATCTATTCACGCTGGTCTGCTGACAAACCAAACATCACCACCCGGACTGCTCAAAAGCACTGAATTTTCTCGTATTTATTGTCGCCTTCAAAGCCTCCTGCACCGATACAAACATGCCAACGCTCAATCTAATTTTCCATATACTTATTACTATAAGCCTCGTCTGGGCTGGCCTTCAGAGGTTTTAGCGAATTTTATGCTCAGTTTCGGGTCATTTCTGGAGCGCCATTCGCTAGATTGTTGGACAGCCCGAAGCGTCACATTCATAAACCCACGTCTCGCCACCAGTAATGATGTGTTTTATGAATTTAAGGTTCTCAGTTACGTTGTCAAGCGGCTCTTTTGTGACCTCTACTCGACGTCGATTCAGGTCTCTTGATACGAGTCTAGTATTGACACGCTACATACCCAAAACATTAACCAAAATGTATTAAGTCGATCCATAAGAGATGCAGCGATCCTCTGCTATCTCTCTAATGCCAAAATGATGATTTTCAAGTACTGTTTCTTTAACTTTTGCGATGTTAACGGCGTTAACAGAGATGGATGGACGCATTAGGAAAGTCTTTAATGACCTACCGGTGCACTTTTGTAAAAGAAATATGTATAAGTATCTGTGCTTTAGCTAGCAACGACTCTACTTTTATTAAATAACCAATTCAACCTATCTTATTGTCTTCTTATCATATAATGCTAAAATTATTGAATATTTCAAAGAAACTGAAATAAGTTCTCACTAATTGTTATTAAAAGGTTATATCCACTTGCAAATCAGAAACAACGCATTTTTTCTGAATTTTACAATTAATTTAATAACTAAAAAAAAGTAATGAACGATATCACGATTTAATAAACTTTAATAATCGATTCAAACAATCTAAAAAAATTTGGATAGCTTCATCCCACAGCCGATCTTCAGAAGGACCTCCAAAAAATGTTATAACAATAAATGAGCACAGATAATGTTCAAAGAACTAGTTAAAATTTAGATCTTTAACAATATGTCGGCTTCCCAAAAAAGTCGGTGTTTGTGAAAAAGTTTACACTTCTCGCTTAAAAAATCGAAATTATTGTCAAAAATCCTTTTGCTTCAATCATTACATGACACACATATCTAAAAAGGTCGTATGACATTTTCAAGTTGATCGCGTTTCGGAAAAATGTTCCTCACAGCCTCTGCAAACAGCGTTTCGAGAGCCGAGTACACTAAGTTAAAAAATGCCTACTAATATTCGTATCTCCGAAACTATTTGCAAGATTGATTTTAAATTTGCTGAAAATATTCTCAAATATAAATACATATGTAGATTCGATATATAGATTGAAAGTTACAAAAAGCATTGCGACCCGTGCTCTTCGATATATGTACCATATAAACAAAAAATTCGGTTTTTGAAATTAACAAGTGGGTACAATCCCTTAAGTTCGAAGCTTCTTTGTTAAGTGATTTTATTTAATAGCGCCACGATTTTCCTACTGGGCATTTAAGACTGAACTGGCAATACAAATACAGATATGCACCACTAACACACAACAACACTTTCACTTCGCCAACAATATCCAACCGGGCGATCACAAGATAATCTCCGTCTAAACGCAGTTTACTGCATTTGCAATTCATTTTGCGATTTTATTTAGTTTCACAAAGGAACATAGAAATATTCAAATATATACGAACTTAAATACTTCTCCAACACAAACGGTAGATTATAATATAGAAAGCAGAAAACTTGAATGCAATATCCAGATAACAGATACAATAGAAAATACAGAAAAGAATGAAGTAAAAAGTCACGCACCAAAAATCGAACAACTGCCACGCCCATATCACGCAACACAAACACACAAACAAAACTAAACGAAAAAAAAACAGTTATAATTGAAAATAAATTATAACAGTTGAAGCGAAAAGCGAAAGAAACATGTATTAAGTGAAAATGAAAATGAAAAAAAAAAAAAACATGATAATGGAAACGAAAACGATTTGTGATTGTGTCAATGTTACAACTAATTGTATTTTAATTAACTTAATAAAAAATTAAAGTTGCAAACTAATAGGAAAATAATTATGCTGTGAAAGCAAAGTAAAAACCCAAAACAAAAATTAAAGTAAAAGTAAAAACTACCAACATACAATAAAACCAATGAAAATAAAATAAAAGCAAAAGAAAAATTCTACTCGTACTGTTTGTATATTTGTATATGTCTTCATTTCACTCTAAGTGTTCTTTGTCCACTTTTGTACACACTCATAATAGGTATGACTAAGAGAAAAAAACTACGTTACATACCGACATGTATACAAATAAAAATACATACATGCATACATACATAAATACACACATTCAATGCTAAAAACTGTACTTGTATACGTAACTCTGTATTTGTATGTAACTGTATACGTAACTGTAACTGTAACTGTAACTTTAACTGTACTTGTAACTTGTATTTTGTAACTGTATATTCCAATAGCTCATCAAATCATCTCACTCAAACTCAAACTCAATCACTCACTCACTCACTAAAAACTCTCAGTTATATCACTTTACTTATGCAAGAGCAAACTGTGCAAAAACGTTGCAGAAATATTGAAAAGAAAATAAAAAGTAATTAAATAAATTATGCCGAACCAAAAATCAAGTCTAAATGTATTGTAATTTCAACTCTAAAAACCATCGTCATCTCTAACAGAGTAAAGCAGAGAAAACAAAACTTTTACTAACATACATACTTAAAACTAAGCGTAAGTTGAATCGAAGCAAACTGAAAGCACTTGAAACTACTCTCGTACTAAAATCACAAAGAAAGAAAACAAAACGAAACAAACCAAAAAACTATGTGTTATTATCAAACTAAACTAAAAATTTCAAAAACTTTCAGATGTGTGTCGCTATTACTTAAGATTATGATCTGAATGCGGACTTTGGTGATCACAATCTTTAGCTCAACTTAATTGCACTGTAAGTTCAATCACATCAAAATCTAGAAAACACACGCAAAATACAAAGACAGACAACCAACATTACATATGTATAGTACATCATAAGTGGATACTATATACAAAATCTATATATAAATATACTAGTTTCGATTTTTGAATATTTTTATGTTTTATTCGAAGATACTATTTTCAAAATACAAATAAGAATTCATTTTATTTTTGGTCTAGCTGGTTCGGATCATTAGACGGTTTCTTTACAAACTAAGGTATCTGATTTATTATATCCCTTAACAAATATTTCAACGTTCGTGGTTATAAAAGGTTTCATAAAACTCTGAATCCAGTTTGTGTGTATACTTCATCATGTCAGTTAAGACAGAGTGAGATAGAGATAATTGGATAATTCTGAATTCCTTTTAAGATAATAACAATGAAAACAAGTAAGGAAGGGCTAAGTTCGGATGTAACCGAACATTTTATACTCTCGCAAAGTCAAATAGTATACTCGTTTGAGATTTCTTTGTGGATTGGCTGATATTTTCGGTAGAAGGTCAACTATAGGCACTGGGGTCCACATATTTAGTACTTAGGGGCTTAAACAGTTTTGGTTCGATTTAGACAATTTTTGGCCACAAGGTGGCATACTTTAATCGCATTATTCACGCAAAGTTTTATCCCGATACAGTCATTGTTGCCTGATTTGCATAGTGGAAAGTGAAATAATCAGATGGAATTTAAAATGGTGTTATATGGAAAGTAGGCGTGGTTGTAGTCCGATTTCGCCCATTTTTGCACTGTGACATAGAAACATGAAAAGAACGTTATGCACCGAATTTGGTTGAAATCGGTTAAGCAGATCTCAAGATATGGGTTTTCACCTAAAAGTGGGCTGTGCCACGCCCACTGTCTAATTTTGAACGCGGTTCCTATTAAGTCATCTCATACCATCCCAGAGGTAAAATTTAATGACTCTGGCGTGTTTAGTGCTTGATTTATCGCGCTTTTAGTAGTTTTTAACAGTACCGTTATATGGGGAGTGGGCGGAGTTGCCACCCGATTTCAACTATTTTCACACCGTCAATAGAAGTGCTAAAAATATTTGCTTCCAGTGAATTTTGTTATTATAGCATTAGCGGTTTAGGAGATATGCACATTAAACCTATTAGAGGCGGGACCACGCCCACTTTTTTAAAAAAAATTTTAACTGCAGATGCCCCTCCCTAATGTGATCCTGTGTACCAAATAACAGTCTTGTATCTTATTGCGGAGCTTAGTTATGGCAAGTTATTTGTTTTTGATTAATGGCGTTTTGTGGGCGTGGCAGTGGTCCGATTACGCCAATATGCAATACCAACCGTCTCACGGTACCATGAAACATGTCTACCAAGTTTCATAAAGATATCTCAATTTTTACTCAAGTTAGAGCTTGCACGGACGGACGGACAGACGGACAGACGGACGGACGGACAGACAGTCACCCGGATTTCAACTCGTCTCTTCATCCTGATCATTTATATGTATATAACCCTATATCTAACTCGATTAGTTTTAGGTGATACAAACAACCGTTAGGTGAACAAAACTATTATACTCTGTAGCAACAGGTTGCGAGAGTATAAAAATGCGACGAAAAGGGTCGTCATATTGGATCCACTGGATTTCGTTATTATTTCAATGAAATAAATTTTAAATTTTCTTCTGACTTCGAAATAGTTCGAAAAGGGTCATCATATTGGATCCACTGGATTTCGGCAATATTTCAATAAAATGAATGTTGCTGTTTCCTCCTTATGTGATGAAATTTCATGTCCTATAAGTCACTATATTATCCGAGTATTTAGAATAAACGCACTGCTTCTTGAGTTCCTTAGTTTTTTATTCTCAAAATTTTTAAATGTTTTCCTAAAATGCAACAGGCGATTTCATTTAATTTCTTCTTAACTAAGCAAACATTTTTACTAACTTTAGTTTGATATATTATTAAAAAATATTGGATATATGTGGTGATTATTTCAAACTTAAGTGCTGGATATAAGCTGGATAAAGTCTGATCAAACTTGACCCGGACTTGACTTAAAAGCCTCGCTGACCTTCTTTGCCTCCAGAGAGTTTTGATTTTTTCCGTTTAAGCAAACTTCGTTATTTTCTGGTTTGTGAACAGTTTCAACGCCATATTCATAAACCCACGTCTCATCAGCAGTAACGATGCGTTTGTTCAATTAGGGTCCTTAGCTGCATTGTTAAACATCTCTTTGCAAAAGATTCAGGTGTTCAGGCAACTTGCGCTGCGTCGTTTCGAACAGCCTCTGCTGTTAACACGATGATTTACAAACGCTCTTTCTTTAATTTTATCATTGTTACCGTCATTAGCAAGTTTTCGTTGACTTCACCTGGACTTCACTGAATGCTTTGTGCCACTCAAATAATTGTGCTCGTGATAAAGTAAACTCCCCAAAAAACTGCTACAACATTTTCAACGATTCCGTAGCTGTGATTCCAATTGGAAACACAAAATTTCATTCAAACTCGTTGTCAGACCAACTTCGCGTCGTACATAAAAAACATCTTGTACTAATCTAGGAAAAAATTTTAGATTCAGTTTGCGCGCACAGTTTAAATGAACCAGTCAGTCCAAATGAAATTTGATCAGATGTTAGATGTTGTCATACAAATGAAACTTAATGACTAAGCAGGCCGCAACAAGTTTAAGCTATGTGATTAATTAACCAAAAATATACCTTTACTATTCATAGTTTACGATTACTTTAGTAGAGTATCTATTGTATTTGTCGGCTGACTACAAAATTACTATTTTTTATCAAAAAAAATTTAGATTATAGAATTACACGAAATATCTGCTGCCATGTAACTAACTCACAAACTTAATGAACTACTCTTTAATTATTTATTAGCTTACTAGTTAAATGAAAATGCAGAGAATTATTCAGCTGAGTTGAAAATATTGCCATTTTATTTCGAATACTAGATAGGCTATGTACAATATGTATGTGCTTGCAACACACACATACAGACACACACGCACACAAAGGCATATTTTTGAAAAGAAAACATATTTGCAATTACCGTAATCGCATAAGAAAAGATTAAAATTGAATGAAAATGGAATCGAAACTCAAAAATCAAAAATAACTGCTCTGAAATGCAAAAATCAACTGTCCAAAATGGAAGAAACAAAAGATAAGCAAAATAAATAGGGTAAAAATATGTGAAATATATGAAGATAACAAAAAACAATAACAACAACAACAACAATGAAATGAAAAATGTTTGAATGTACGAAATGAATAAACAATTGATATTTTGTTCCTTTATTGAAAATAATGAAAAACCTGTATTTTTATTTGCAATTCAAAATATGCCACTTCCGTTAACTCCAACCAGATGCGTTGGAAATGTTATCCGAAGCGCCCGTAAGCAAGTAAGTACATTCACATAAATGGTAAACACATAAATTTATCTATTAATATGTATGGATGCGGTATCTAAACAATGTAAAGGATGAATATTGTGCATTTGTATGGGTGTATGTGTGTTTGCGCATTTACAAATTGCATTGTTCCGGAAAAATATTTTCTTAATTATTTCAAAATATTAATCATCCGTACGGTCGACAATTTATCAAACCCAAAAATGTACCGAACATGTGTATGTGTGTATGTATGCGTGTATGTATGTAATAATTTTATTTTTGGCCTATAACCAGAAAATCAATTTACTTCATTTATTTTGGTTGCTTCACTTCTTCCACGGTCCGTTCAACTTAAGGGCAAAGGAATAGTACACATACACACACACACACATATAATCTTGCTTTTAAATGTATTCGATGCCATAACATTAGTCAGTCAAATAGTCACTTTACAGCCCTTTTCACTCACACACACATACGCACTTGCACAAACTCCGTTAGACTCTCACTCTCTTGAGAAGCCATTTTTTATTGTAACTGTAGTTGTATGCGAAGCGAACAACTCAACAAATTTTTGTGCCTAAGTAAATGAAGTCTTTCAAAGTAAATATAAAGAAGACAACAAATGCCCGCAAGGCTTTGCACATAAATCTCAGCAATTTGCCATTTATAAATATAAACAAATTGTTTGTGTACATATCGTATTGTATTGCGTAGTCGTTTGTAGTCGACTTTAAGGCGCATACTAAATTCTGAATTAGTTTTATCGACATACATATCTTTAAGAAGCCTTGCTGGAAATATGCCAGAAAGTAAAATAAGAAAATCAAGGAGTTTAAAATGAGTTATAAATGTGGACTAGGGCCATATGTATGGAACCAACGTGGAAATTACGGAAACATAAGACGATAAAGTGGGCACTTTTTTAAGTTTAGTGCATAGCAATTTTCCATTCGCCGTTCTTTTTTATAAGAGTCTCAAGCACAAGATCACCACAGAGATATCGAAGTCAAAACACTGCATATAATGTTGTTAACTACACATTTTTTTCGAAAAGTTTAGAGGGTTCTCCCCGAGATCACCTCAGATCAAATTATATTATCTTCTCACGTCATGTTTTTTTCTGTTTTTGACAATCTTGTCAATTTTAATTGAGGCATGAGAATCATTAAATCGATTAAAACAAAAGAAATTTGTCTAACGAATTTGACCACAAAATAAACAGTTTGGTTGAAAATTAATATTTCTAAAAGAATTACTTTCACGCAATCTTGGTTAGGGTTTAGTCAAAAACAATAGAAGTGAATTGTCTAAAAAATATAAATAAAATAAAACCGCTAAAAATGTTTAAGAGGATTTTTTGCAAGTCTCCACTTGAGAAGACAGCTATTTGAGTGACATTAAAAATTCAGAAGAAAAGCGACAGGAAAAACTTAGCTCATACTGATTGCACAATCTTTTAACAACTGCAACATCGAATAAGAGAAGGAAATTGTGCTCTTGTTAATCTATAAGCGATAAAAAAGAATCTAAAGCTGCTTTATGTGTCATATCTTTACATTTTTTGGCGTACAATTTTTGGTACAGTACGCAGTACGTCGCCATTAAGCACATACCAATAAATCAGAGACCGAATGAAGAGTTATTTTCAAACGAAAATCAAACTAAAGACAGATTTCAGCAAACAAATCGGACTCTCTTTAGCATTGCTGTCAGGAATACTCAAATATCTTATTTGTCTCACTCGACTCATAGTTCATTGAAATGAAAAAGAATAAAGGTCTAGCTCAAAATCTTTGAGAGCTTATCTAAAAATAAATTGATTCTGGATAATTAAAAAATATTTCACAATTTTCATTTCTGTTTTTCTTTACCTTACTAGAATCCATAAACTAATAATAAACTAATCGAAAAGACTCATTTTATGTACCTTTCAGAAAAACACAAATTACGGCAAAAATGTTTGTAGAGTCAAAAAAAGGTGCAGTTTAATCTCATCACAGAGGTTGTAAATTTGAACTTTCTCTAGATATGTATATAGGTATAATACTCGCAC